CATTCCATCTACTTTTTCACTATCACGATGTATTTTAAAAAAACTATCTTTTTCATATAATAATAATCTATATAATTGTAAATCAATTAAATCATTTTTAATCCAATCTTGATTTAAACCTAAATCAGAAACAATTTTCGATTTTAAATTATTTAATGTATGAATTTTCCATTCGGAATTTGTTATTATAAATGATGATGGATTTAATTGCCATGTATGACGAACCTAAAAGAGATAAATTTTATTCGATAAGAAATTTTCTTTTATTTTACTGATTTATCTAAAATTGTTTTATCTTTTCTACCGAATGGTGCTAATGAACATTGTTCAATAATTAATTTTGCTTGTGATGGTTCTAATGGAAGTTGAATATGTTCTTGCATACCATTAATCATCACCTTAGGATCCTGCCCATCTGTTAAACGATCACCACCACAATAATCACCAGACTTTCGAACATTTTGAAATGTTCTATTCAACATCTGTTGAAATGTTAAATTATTACTTTTCTTTTTACTAGTATTAGATGACATTGATAGTAGAATATTAGGAGATATCTAAAATATTTATCACTAACTAAACATTGATTATTCAAGACTAATCGAAAAGAGATCCATCCAAACAAACAAACATGACACGTTCAGTTTTCATCGGACAAAAACAAGGTTCATTCTTTCATCACCTAATACACTGTATAAAAAAGAAAATACATCACAAGATGCACCGTGAAAACTTCTACAATTATTTTTAAAATGAACAAAAATTGCAATTATAAAATAAGCTGTTCTTTGTGGATAGTGATCAACTTTAACATGTTAATAAGACATTCTAAAAGCGTGGTCTAAAAGTTTCGACACGTCAGGACATTGATTATATCTATTACAAACATCTATGTATATATTTGATCGAAATATGCGTTTTTCTAGAGCAGAAAACGAACTAAAATCATCAATCTTAAATAAATATTTTCACCTTGTATCTTTTGATAAGAATTTTAAAAAACATATTTTTAAGTTAGCCGCATGTTTTTGCTTCGTAAAATGTTTTTAAGGGTACTGTGAATGTACGTTATCAGAGACACTATAACTCACAACCACCTACATTCCTCCCTTAAAAACATGCGACCACCATAAAAATGTTGTTTTTTTAGTTTAAATCAAAATATTCATTCAAGATTAATAAAACAATCATAAGATAGTCATAAATTTATGTATTTCGATCAAGTATATACATGTAGGTTTTTGATAGATATAATCAATTTACTGAAGAGGGGTCAAAACTTTTAGACTAACCTTTATGATATAAATCTCTATTTCACTTCAAATTATCAGATTTTATATTAAGATTGTCATAGAAAAATACTAAAGTTCATAGTTTTAATAGAACTATTCTTAATTATTACTACAGTCTAAAAACTTAAAGGATATAAATACACAATTCTTACTGGATATGTCGTTCTAGTCTCTAGATGAGTTGCTCGAATAATTAAGTGCAACCAAAGGGGACTATCCAAGAAGTTTCGACTAGTCTAAATCAAAACTTATACTATCTCCTTAAAAAGAACTAGTACAATTGATTCTTCATATTATGGTTAGCTATTCAATATGGTCGGATCGAATGTTCGATTCCATCTAGTATCCTCGAAACTACGGGGGTGTATGGGGGTGTACAACCCCCTCACTCACAATTGAATATTATTTATTATTAAACACTAAAATGAATAATATTTTGTTGAATCTCTATATATTTTCATAAACATCTTTCAGAGGTGTCCTGAATGATCTTCCTATAATAATGATTGGCGACTTTCGTTAAGATATTGATAGAAAACATGACTTTCTATGGCAAGATGAAGAAATCAGGTGGTTTTTTTTACTCGAAATTCCGACTTAAATGATGGTTTTTACTACAAAATTTGGAAATATTAAAATTTTTTGCTTCACGAAGAAGCAACCACGTGAATATACTCATCTTGAAAATAACTCTGATCTTCCTGTTTTCTATGGCATACTTTACTGCTTCCTACCTTCTGAACTGCTTTATTTGCGAACAGTCGTCGCTAGCATGGCCATCTTCGGCGGTGAAATTGCTAAGCATTATAGAAATACTTTTTTTCTTTCGAGAACAATTAGAAAAAGAAGAGTTTTTCATGAGTCTAACAAAAAAACTATTCGTTTCTCGAAAAATAACAGTTGCGCAACCGCAATTAACTTACAGAGCAGTCATCCTATTTCACAATGTTGTACATTGCAGGAATCAGTTTCACGCGATTCCGGGAATTCGAACATCATTAAAAGAATTCGGCATATTCGACAATGATCGAATTCCCTCGATTCCCGGAACTGAAGACAATTCCAAAATTGGATGGCATTCCAGAATTCCGCCTGATTTCGCTTCGACCAAATTCCCAGAATTGCGTCCCGGAATCGCTAACTTATTTCAGACATTAATCTATAACAAACAGCTCAGCATGAGGGTGATGATGGAAAGGAATTCCGCCACGGAATTCCTTCCAACTTACAGAATTCTGGAATTGGAAGGAATTCAATCGTTGTCGAATAAACCGAATTTGTTTAATGATGTTCGAGTTCTCGGAATTGGATGGAATTGATTCCGGTGCGAAACTGATTCCCGCAATGAGCAACATCGCGGAATAGGATGTATTCTTAGAAAAACTTCTAAACTCAATCCATTTTTCCTTCGAAACAGCCTAGTCGAGAACAATTACCGCCCGCTTTGGCGACTTAGATGAAAAAAAGATTGAGTTGTTTGTTACATCAGATGTTGGTTGTCTTCTCGAAAAATTTTTCAGAAAAAGTTAGTTTTTCTAAGAAGGAGCACACCCTTCCCCCAGTCCTGAAACCCTCGGATAGTATCTTTTTCCGTCTATCTTCTCACTTTTATTGTTATGCTGACGCTTCTGGAACAACTGGTTCTGACGAAATTTAAGTCATTTCTGAGTAGACTAAACGGTAGTTCAGACATTTGAGACTAATCATGTCGGGCGTCCTCCCTTATGTTTTGATTATTTGAGTATTCATTATAGATATAAGAGAGAGAGTGTGTGCACAGTATCTTCGAATAATTCAAAAAAGTAAAATGGTCTTTTCACTTGGTTACCATCAAAGACAATACAAGGATGACATTTTAATCAGAAAAATAATCAGTTTTCTACACAGTCTCATGTTTTCCAGCAGAGGAGTGAGTTTTTTCCCAAGAAGTGCGCAATATCACGCTCTCGAATTAGTATGATCAGGTGAATTTTTACTTTTTAAATTGTGCATGCTGACATACGTAAGTTTTGCTTCGATATCTTTATGAGGAAAGAACCGTTAACGTTTGTCAATATTATCATGTAGGTAAATGTCTCCTTTTTTTTGACTCTTATTGATGTTATCGCGATAAGGAAAGACTAACGACAGCAAACACTATATGGGTTTTTTTCTCTCGACTCACTTTCATATAAGTAAAACAATGTTTGATATGATTCATTATTTTTTAACGCCACAACGCAGTTAAGTCCGAGGAAAGAAGAGATATTTACATGGCGACCTTAAATTCAATCATTAGAAGATTCTGAATAAAAAACTACCTATTTGACGAATTGATAATAATAATCAATCAATCATTCATTTATCGAAACAACTCGGTCAAAGATTTTCAAATAAAATACTATTATTATTTACCTTGTTTCACTCGATTCAAAGGTTCGAGAGTGGATGAAATTGAGGGGAAAACAATTACCCATCATTATCGTCAACAACGTATAGAGTTTTGTGAATGCAGTGCTTTTTGAAAAAGGTTCGAATTTCACAAACCAAGCCTTTTTGATTAAAGAACTAAGAATATTGACATTGAAAGCTTTATGAAATCTATTGGTTGAACTAAAATGATCAAATTTAGAAACAGAAACTAACTTGTAAAGATGAAACTATCATCAAATGTATTTGATGTAATTTCAATTATATTCGACATGTTTCATCTGAGTTTTTTGCACAAACTCCATAATGCTCATCATAGATTATTTGACTAGACTCATTCAGTTTGCAATTGGAAGTAACTTTTTCTTCATCCCATATTAATGACAATAATGATCGTAGAAACGAATTGCATCTGTACGCTGCAATGTTGTAATAATTTCGTTTTCGAGTCAAACTAAATAAGAAAAGAAAATCAATACATTTATTAGTCTTCTAAGCGTCTTACATCTATCAAAGGAGAATCGATGACAGTTTGAAAATATTTCTTTGAGATTTCATCATTACTGCTATTTCGAGATTTTTCACAATATAATCGCTGAACATTTTGTTCAATATAATTCTATATTCCAAAGTGGAATTTTATCGTGCATTATTAACGTTCATTTTTGTTACACGCACTCGAAATAATTCAATGCGTCGATCACCATAATACAGTTTATGAGTTTATATTTACGCAGCTGATGAAAAAAGATTCATGAACAGGACGAGAAAAAAGATCAATCAATATATTATGTTCTGGTGTTTGTTGAAAGCATTGTAGATAAATTTCGAAGGTATAATAAATGTGATATCTTGAGGGTGTGGGTGTGGGTGTGTAGGTGTGAGAAGAAGAAAGACATATCGACACCAACGGCCACGCTCACACGCACCCACACCCACCACCCACACCCAAAGGTAAAAATTTATTGTTTTTAACAAAGAGAATCACAGATTTTAACAAGGATTATTCTGAAAAATAACAACTTAATGAAAAAAGAAAAGGGTGTGGGTGTGAGCACATAAAGAAAAGTGGCACATGCACACCCACACTACATCGACAACCGCAGCCACAGCCACATCTAATCCACACCCATATCCATACCTATGAGGACAAACATAGAAAATACTAGAAAGGTTTATCAAGGCCAAAGAAAAGAAATAGAAACGAATATATTAAAGAAAAGAAAAAGAATAGGATACCGGTGTATGTTGTAAGAACACACGTTAACAGACAGCGTCTTAACATTTTCGACAGATTATCTGTTCAAAATTCTCTTTTTCGCTCAAAATTGCTTCGATTTTTTTTCTCGACATCTATTTTTCGATATTTACTTTTCATCGAATTTTCTTTTGACATTTTTTTTCATCGGCATTTTCTTTCGATTAATTTCATGTAAATCGTTGCACCATACGTTTCACACAAAGCAAGGCTACGAGCATGAATTTGAATGTGAGTCTTTTAGTCGTACCTAACAATATTCACAACCACCTCTAAGATCATCTAGATCACAATCGATTTGATAGCATCATCAAAATCGAGAGAACTTAGTTATCTAAGATGTATTTATCAAAGGTTTGAGACATACACCTGTTCTTTCTGTCAATATGTACAGCAGCACTTCACTTTTAGATACACAAAATCTTGAGGATGGGAATAAAAAAAACATTTATTTCAGCTTTAAATGTTTGTTGGTATGATCACCGTTTCTTGTTTTCATCGTCAAGAATATTCAGAAAGTACGATGTTGCTGAATTCTATCAATTCAAATTTTCAAGAAAACCTAAGATATTATCATTTAAGACACTTAACTGAAACCTATGATTCCTCTAGTTTGAATGACAACGACGTAAAGAAAATAAAAAATACGTCATTCTTATAAAGCTCATCTCGAGAATTCGAAATAAACTAATGAGACGGATGTGGGTGTGGGGTGTGGACGTGGGTGTGGGTGTGGTTGCTGGTGTGGGTGGGTTGTGGGTATGCTTACGGATGCGTGGATGTGAAAGAAATAAAGAATCACACCCAAACCCACAATAACCCCCACCCCCACCCACACCCTAAGTCGAAAATAATCAGAGAAATAATAATAGTAATAAACACGACATTCTGTTAACTCTGATTCTAAAAGTATAGATTGTATTTGTGTAACATACCGATGTTGCCAGACAAGTAGTGCACAGGAGCAGGCCAATAAAATCAATAATAATATAATAAAAATAATAGCATCATCTGCTGAAAAGTCAGAAATCCATTACAGAGAAAAAGAATGTTTTTTTTGTCTAATATGAACCACTATTATTACTAAGTCTTGAGACCACAAAGAAATTAGGTTTGCATAAAATATCTCAGTTTTTTTTAGATTTTTCTTTGGAAAGAAAATGAAGTATTGGTCTAAGCATCATCAAAATAATATGCAAAAAGCATACGCATTTGATAACAGAGATGGGCATCTCCAATTTAACTTCTACCGATGTAAGACCTTGTTCAAGAAAAATGAGGAAAATTCAAATTGAAATGTTGATTTCAGCAGCTGTTACGAAAAACTAGAACTCTTCACGGTAGGACTAGATAGAAGATAACTTTTTCAGTCAGCATTACAGGCAAGTATTCAAAGATCTTAATCTGAAGTTACTTTAAGTTGGAGTATGATTTGATAAAATTGGAGCGTAAAAGCTCTCTCTAAAGCCAGTTCCTGTTGGAAACGATAGTGTACATAATTTAAAGTGCAATTGAAGGAAAACAATGTCGCCATTAAGTAAAAGTTACATTGAAATGGTTGTTCGCTTCCATCCCTTTATCAGGAGTGCAGTTTGATGAAGTTCGATTGTAGGAGCTCGATTTTTCTGTATCCACTTGAAAATGCTAAGACAATATATTAACATCAAATGTTTTATATACCCTCGCAAAGTTCTCGATCATTCTAAATCGAAATCTGCTCGACATGTAGCTTACTTCGACTAATTTCGTTCTGAAGTTTTCAGACCATAGCAATCAATAAATTCTCATAGATATTTGTCTCATTTCATACTTTATCAGAACTAAATGGAAAATTAGTTTGTCCATCAATATACTGTACAAGACGTTCTGAAAATTTTCAATCAATATTTCGTCTAATATACTTTTCATCTTCTAAAAATACAACGCAACATTTCCTCTTTATTTTTCATATTACTCTAATCTTGGATGGATCCAAACTTTCACATTACTATACTAAAAAACTGATTTGGGACTCAATTTCGCGAGTCAGAAGTCTCAATAATTGGTATATCTATTTTTTTTCCCATCAACCATAAAAATTCTTGTCGTGAGAGAAAGGCTGATGAATCAGTAGATATTATATTTACACACTACTTAAGCATTTACAGTACATAGACATATTTGATAGATGGTATATTTGTTCTTTTCTTCTCAGAAGAAGAGTTTTACTATAGTTAGATCAGTTATAATGAGCAACTATCCCTTTCTTGTCAATGAAATAAATCAAAAACGATATATTGTTCTATATTTCTTAAAGACAAACACCACGATTTTTTTTAATTTTAGTTCCATATACTATACTTTTAAATATGACATAAATGAGTTTTTTTATGAATAAAAATTGAAAATTATTAGTGTTAAGCTTCTTTAAAGTTTATCATATAACACAATAAATGTACGAGGAAAATCAATATATATGTGGAAACAAAAAGCAATATAGAATCATTATCACATTGACTACTGCATGTCTGTAAGTTGAACTCTCAGTTTATTTCTATTACTGTTATTACATCAGATTGATATCCAACAAAAATAATCAACTCCTAATGGCTGATATTATTGTTTATATCATCATCAAAACCATATGCTGCAGTAAAAATATCGATCTGATTTTGATGAAGTGATAAAAATCCGGAATAATATATGTCTAATACATTGTATTACTTAAAATTTCGCATAGAATTGTTTCTCTTTTTCTTTGAGTTATGTACAAATATTTTATATAAAAACTAAAACAAAAATTTTTAGAAAGTAGATCTCTCAATTTGTTTCAGCTTTATCTATATAAGTGAAGACATTTTGGATTTTTTCGTAAGAATCTTATTGAACCGTTAATATAAAGTTTTTCTTAAGTAATTTGTCGAGCTCTTTTCAAACAAGAATAAAAAGAAAAACAATTTGGTACCGAAATTTTCAACTCTAATTCAGATCTGACATGATTCAATTCTGCAAAATTCGGAACAAACTTGTTCATTCCATTGAACTCTACAAGTTTTACAATTACACGTAGGAAGTGGTACTTACTTTGGACGCGTATATATGGAAGAGGCAGCATTTCATTTTTCACCCAAAGAAAGTATTGATATTCCTTCCATGGATTTCGATGACGTTCGCAGAATTCACCATCACATACGAAACGCATGCATTGTATATACTACGTAGTATAACATTCAAGTTCCATCTGGACGTTTGAATTTTCAGGATATATTTTCTTTTCACAATGTTTGTAGTCATTGTCAAAAAAATGTTTGTAAATTTGAGAAGAGTAAAATTGATCGTTCATCGATATATCTTCATTTAAGTTGGTTGAAAAATTATCAGTTGTCATTGCAGGAAAGATTTTATATAGCATCACACTCTTTCTAGAATTGCCCTTGTTCTATTCTGTATTTTCTCTATAAAGATCTTTTCTGACTAGCCCAGTTAGAATTATCATTAGATTGACACACATTTATTACTAATCTAAGATCTCTATTTCTGATTTACTGATAGATTATTGTGAAGCGTGCACTAAAATATAGATTAACACATCGACATAAATTGATTGAAAAAAAAAGCATTTTTCAATAAAATTAATTAATTATTCATGTTTGGAATGAGTAAAGATAGTTTTGGAGATAAAATTCAATGGTTCGTATATAGAGATGGTTTGATTTGCTGATTCCTCTGAATGAAGATATACTGTCTTACGAATTTTGATCAAAAATATTTTTATTAACACCCTTTATTCTAACTAATATATAATATTGATTATTACATAAAATAAAATTTTATATCTTCTGAGAAATAGTTGCTAAACGGCGAAAGCAAAGATTGAAATCTATCATTGGAGCATACACTCAATCAAAAAAGGTCATTTGCCAGTTGAAAACGATGAAGACATGTTAGGAATTTGTGTGGATAGAAAATTGAAAGAGTAGAATGCAAAGATGAGTCAACGAGTATGAATTATATCTATATGAGAAACAACACTTTTACCACTTGAAATAACGATATAGAAACATTGTTGAACCAATAGTGAACTACAACAATGTTATACCTAAAATAGTGAACTACAGCTTCACATGAGACTCACTTATCAAATGGACCTAAACTTTGATTTAATGAAAATGTTTGAAGATAATTGTTTTGTATATAATCGATTGTCATCTGCGGAAACATTTTTCCACTGGTGAAATATGGATGCCAACTGATATTTGCTAACGCATGGCCATGTTCATGCTTCGCTGAAAGAGAGTGTCCACCTTCATGTAGAATTGGTCGTCTTGAAACGAAAGCAACAACCATGGATGGATCACAATCTCGTTTAAAATCACGGTACACCTTTCCAGATGTTAAATTGACAGAATACTCAGTGGATAGCGAGCCAATTAAAGACCAACTTCGACTTTTATCCAGTCCGAATCCGACACGAATGTCAGCACTTTGGTTAAGAGGTACTTCCATAAAATAAATGTGGCTGCACTTAAACCACTTGAAGTAGATTTTTCGGAATTCTAAACGTTCTTTATCATCTCCATTTAAAAAAGCAATAGTAACGGTTTGTTTTTTCCATACAAAATTTTGGTCAACGACCAGACCAGCTAATTGAGTATCAGCTAAAACTCTGAATAAATGAACGATTAGGATGCACACAAAAAGTAAGTAATACATTGATAATTTTGTGTCAGCCTCTCCAACGACGATGAAAATTTGAACGATCACACAGTGATAATCTGCTGACAGTATGAAATTAATCTTTCACATGTCTATAGTATGAAAACTACTTCCAATTGTGTATCTGTTAAAAAATAAAACTTATTGAGAGGGTAGCCGAAATTTTCATAATTTTCATTCATAGATGCATCATTCTAGAAGAAGCATCAATCTCAATTTACTTTATTTTTCTTTCTTACTTCTATTTGTTATAAGCTAAATAGCATAGCATTTCGGTAACTGCGATGCGGAAGTTTTGCATTTAATGATGATTTTATATTAATTTTCCGCTCGTTTTTCATCGGCATTGCATGAAAGGTTTATATTATTTGACATTTAAGAATTCTTCGTAGCAATTATAATTTCTACAAAGATTATACTCTTGCAAGGGCATTAGAAATCTCACGCGGGTAACATGCCACAAAAAAAGACTGAAATACATTGAAGATCACAGAAATCATGATTTTTTTCTCATATTATCGATCAATGAACAAATTGACTGCAGTAAATTGTTTACTGTTTTTTAGACTCTATCGACTCAGATGAAGAGATTACTTATTCTACAGATTCGAAATCTAGAATCTGCATAGAAACAATAAAACACTCTGTATTTTGACGATATTTCTTTCATTTCAGATAATTTCGAACCGTAACTTCTCATATATAGATAATTATATACGGATAGATATCACTAAGGTGAAAGAAAACAATCATCATAGTTATTTAACCTTTAGCTTCAACTACTAGACTGGATCATGAGGCAGAAGAATATTAAATATGTAAAAGTACTTTGGTTATATTAATTTTGCTTGAGTCATGAAAAGATTTTAAAAAAATTGATTTTTCTATGTAGTGCATACTTAATCTTTCTATGTCTAACGATACACCTTAATACGGTTAAAATGTTTGTAAGCATACATTCTTGTAGATATTGAATCCAGTGATGCATAGCAAACTGATTATAGTATTCAATGTTATGAGAAAAAATCTTATTATAATGGAGGTAAAGTAATCATTTAGCATACAGAGCACTGAGAGTGTGTAAATATGGATAGAATTGCAACTTATAATGTCAAAAAGTGTAACAATCAACAACATGAATAACTAAAGAAAAAAAATCGTGGTATTGTTATAGAATGGATTGTAATAATATTCAGAGGATATACATAGCATTTGCCTTCATGTTATCACCATCAGAATGGGCCTTATAAATTGTTTTTATAGTCGGAAAGCTTGGTAAGTTATGTATCTACGTAAAATAATAACACAATTGAGAGTAAGAGTCTAAAAAGATCAAAAAGTCTGATATATTCCTGATAGAGAGATTTTTCAGAACCAATTTACTTATCGTGTGATAAAGAGTGACAAACTATGCAATTTTCAAAACTTTTGATTGATGGCATTTGTTCCTATTTTTCAAAAAAAAAAACTACTTTAATTGATAGAGACGAGTGGTGCTTATTGTATTTCAATAAAATGGCTCATATCAGACTTGGACGAGCTGCTGAATAAATAGCAGTTCATTAGTGATTCCATGTTGAACTGTCCAAAACAAACTTTATTAATATTTCGATTTTTTTCTCGAGCATAACACTCCCTATTTGATGTATTCATATTGCGTCAATGCAGCTTTCAGGCAAAATTCGAGCAAGAAATTTTTGCAGAAAAGTTTCAGTTCAACGTTAGTTGTTTAAGAATATAGGTAGCTCGTCGTCTTAACTTGTCTGAAAACTGTGCGTAAAATTGTTGAAAATCCATTTGTGAAAAAATGAAAACAAAATGTAAGCAGTCTATGTCAATTCAAATACGTGAAGTGAAAGCGAAAGTGAAATGTAGATATTGTGGGCGTTTTTTTTTACCAAACTTAAAGTTAATCTTCAGAAGTTTTAGAATTCGTTATTGTTCTTTAATAAAGTGAACTATTAGCGACGAGAAAGCACTTATCTTGTTTAATAAATCCAGAACACAATGCATTATTTATACCCTTTTTTACAGTGAGTCGGACTCAAGTGAGAAATGCAAAAGTTTCTTCATTAAATTCACCCTTCTGGAAACGTCACACAAGTCGAAAACTTTAAGTTGGATTAAATCATCTCAGTTTTTTTTCCAATTCCAGCCATTTTCTAGAATTTAAACCAATCCATTCTTATTCAAGCTGTGTCTAGTGGTCTAGCAAGGTGGCTCCAATTTTTGAAAAAAATAAAGAAAGCACAAAAGAAAGTATAAATTATGCAAAAAAAGATCTGAATACAGATGTTTAGCAAGAATTGTGAATGAAAGATAAAAAAAGTGAACCTACTTTACATTTCTGTTTCTAACCACACTATAATTTCATTTCTCTGAACATGGAAACTCAATGAAATCCTTAGAGATAGCAGAGATTGATGCTTGAACTACAGTATTAGTTGACAACAAAGATCATTTTCAGAGACACTAATGCTACAGTTGAACACAACGATAGAACTGGATATTACGACAAATCAGGTTGCCTGAAGGTTTTTGGATATAGTAACAGAAATAAACTTTGAAAATGTAGTACAAGAAGTCAGAATTCAGAAAAAATTAAAAATTTCTTGAAAACTTTAATCTTCTATATAAGACATATTGTTTTTTGCATGCTATTACAGCTACAATTAAACGATCATGAGAGAAGAAAATAGATTAGAAAGTACGAAAACTTACATGATTATCAAGTGAAGGTTGCGAATTTTTGTGGTTTACACTTTTTTCTTATTCAATACCATATAAGAACAAATAAAAACTTATGTGTTTAAGTTACTTTGTTGTACAACCTTCACTTGATAAGCGTGTGAGTTATCAATCTTTTCAATCTTTTTCTTGCATACTTGTTTTATTATAACCTTGTTATATATCACAAAAAATATCTCTGACTATGAAAGTTACACAAACCTCAAGCACATTGAATTATTATGATGTAAGACTCATTGAAATTGTGCTCCTAAGTGACTCAATCTATGATAGATCAAGAAAATGACAGTTCAATTAAAGAGTTACGGTACGTAGGGAAGATTGAAAACGAATGGCAGTCGAATGTAATGGTTAGACAAGAAGAAAATAAGAAGATAAGGGTGGGTGTGGGTGTGGGTATTGGTGTGAGTGTTAATCTTCTCTTCATTCATACCCACACCCACACCCTCATGAATTTCTATAATGTTTGTGTTTGCTTCATTTTGAATAAATGAAAAACTAGATTATGTCGTTACACTCTCAATTATTACTGCACTTCTTATTTTATTTTCTTTAAAATTAAATTAATTAAATTGCTCAATTTCTTTATTTATTTAAAATAGAAAATTTTAATTTCAGTTTTCTAATATTTTGTAGTTGAAGGTCTTGAAAACTAGTTATAGATTTTCGTGTAAATATACCAATTTTCTTGAGATTTTATATAATTTCTAAGAATCTTTAATTATGCCTAGCGCATCATTTATCTAAAGATTTCACTGTATTCTTGCGTAAAGGAATTAATGATAATTCTCAAAGTTTTTTTCGAAATTGAATGATAAGAATTTTTTAAAATAGATTACAAGAAATCACCATGTCACAGTTAATTTAGTTTATTTTCTCTGATTGATATTCATTAGAATGTAGATTAAAAACGGAATAAGAAGAGTTTTCATAATCTATTTCAAAAATGGAATAAGCCGGTACACTGAGATTTCAGCAAAAATATTATTACTTGTTCTTTATTTAATTGATATGTTAGATATGAAATAATAAGTTAGACATACATTTAATCGATATTAATCTCGTGTTAAATTTAGTAATTCAAAATAAAATATTTATTTATTTTTGTTAGCTGAAATACATCTAAATGCTAAATAGATTAATTTACTACCAAGTTTGCAACCTCTTCCGCTTTTTGCTCAAAGTTTCCGCTTTTTGATTTAAAGAGGTTGTGTATTTCGAAAATACGTACAGAGTAAAACTTGTTATTGTTGAATAAAGTCTTACTGTTTATGCATTCAATTAATCATCACTCTTATTATGTCACAGAGACCGTCACAGAGCACTTTTTTATGCCCTATCATGTGCCCTGATCTATCCTGCCATAGGCTCTGACTCATAATTTGTAGCCCTGCCATGCCCTGCCGTAGGGTAAGGCTTCTAAATTGAGTATGCTTGTAGCAAGATCTAAAATCTTCATAAAAATTATGTGATTGTTTTCGAATTTAGTATTCATATTTTTTTAGTGTCATTTCGAAAATATGCTGCAATCAAACGTGGTATGTCATTAAAATGCATCGTGGATAAAAAAGCAGTACTCTTGTACAAACTCTAAAAATATCTAATTTTATTAAATTTGTTCTGTTTAAAAAATGATTAAAATGTTACTATTTTAATCAGACTATCGAATTTTTTAAAGCGTTCTTAATGACAATATAGATGAAGGGTTTTTCTGAAAGTGAAAGTTGAGACTTTCGATCTTTTCCTACTCTTGACTAGGGGTAGAAAGTTACCGTTTCGAGATCGTTCCTGGTAACGGTAGCGGTAACGGAAAAGTTACCAGTTCTCGCGGAACTGGTGTGGGCATGAGTCTGGCTGCCACAGCTACAGCCACACCCTCTCTGATTTGAAAGGAAGATGTCGAGATAAAAACTGAACATCATTCACTTGAGAGTTGACAAATGATTCTGCGATCTAAAGTCGAACGTGACTGAATCGATTAAGCACAAACATTTTGCTGGGGAGAGCGTTTTCAAATAGTATTGTGACTGAAAATTCTTCAC